CCCCCCGCTCACCCCTTAGCTGTGTCCCTGCACCCCTCCCCCCTTGCTGCAGTCTCTCCTCCCCTCACTACAGCTCCAGCAGTTGCACAACATTGAAGGAGGGGAGGGGGCTCCGCCCAGCTGGGGGAGGGAACAGCTTGGAGGAATGTGGGGGAGGGCAGAGGGGTGCGTGGTGGTAGGCGTAAGGTGTTGGGGGAGGGGTTGGGGAGAGTCGGGGCTGGGGGGGTGCAACGGTGGAGAGGGGGGAACTGAGGGGGTGGGGAAGGGTTGGGGGGCTGGGGTTGTGTGGGGAGATGGGGCTGGGAGTCGGGGTGGGCGGGAGGGGCAATGGGGTGCTGGCGGAAGGTTGCGGCGGGGGGAGTATCAGGCATGACTCAGGTTTTATAATGTCCCGGCCCATTGCTGGGGGAGGGGCGCTCGTTGCTGGTCTGGAGCCTGCTTCCCGCAGGGCCAGGAGATGGGGCAAGCCAGTGGGCCGGCAGCCCAGGACCCCAGGGAAACGCCTCTTGGCCCAGGGTGCGGATCCTCGGCAGGGGTGGGGGGGCCTGCCCAAATAACGGGAACGTTTCTGGGCGCCTTGGGGTTGGCTTAGAAACCAAGCCAGAAGCCGAGATTGCTGGCCCCGAATGGCTGGCGTCTCCCGTCGGCGCTTGCCAGGTTTGTCTGGAGCCGGAGCCGGGAAGGAGGGAGCCAAGCGCCTAGATCCCCTGCGTATCAGGAGCGATCTTTGACACCCTTGGGCAGACAGCTGGCGGCCGAGGCTGGCCCTTCCTGCCGGAGTCGGCCCAGGCGGCCGGGCGTTCTGACCGAGCGGAGGGCCAGGATCCCGTCCCAGCTGGGTGGCGCTCGAAGGGACAGGGCTGCTTGTGCTGAGGTCGTTGTGTGGGCGAGAGCCCCTGTGTGGATGCCATGATCCTGGCCAAGTCCTTTTGCCGGGATGGCGGATTTCCCTCGGAACCGGGGAGAGCTCTCGCTGGTCTAACCTGCCCCGGCACTAACCGGGCTGCAAATCTCCTTCGTGTAGAAATGGGCCTTTCCCCTAATCAGGTTATCTCAACGGAGCTCACTGAGTGCGATTAAACCCCCAGGTTCACACCACTGGTGACCTCTGTGGTCTGGCCTGCAACCAGAACTGACGTGGACATTGCTACTTCGCAGGGGGGTGTAAAAACCTCCCGCCCCAGAGAGACCCAGCGGAGCCAGCCCAGCTCCCAGTGTAGACGCTGCTAGATTGACAGTCGATCTCGATCCGCCTCTCTCGGTGGATTAACTACAGCGAGAGAGAGATCCCTTCTGCTGTGGGAGTGAGTGAGCCGGCCGACTGCCCCGCTACGCCCCTTAACAACTCCACCCCCCACGCGGCGCGGAGTCACGGTCCACGCAGTGAGGGCGACGCGGGGTCAGTGTAGCCGTCGCGTCACATACGTCGACTGTTCCTGCCTTTTGGGCGCCGCTCCGCAATCCCCCGCGCTGCCGGCACCATCGGCGCCAGCGCTCCGGGTGAGGTGCACGCCGCCGGCACTGGGGGCTGCGTGTGGACGTGCACACGCGATGGACTGGCTGTGGCGGCTGGACGCCAACGTAAGTCCACTTAAGTTTGTGGTGTAGACGTGCCCTGAGGCTAAAACTCCCCCTGCGGCGTTCCGCCCTGGTTGGTCCAGGTGGCTCCATGCCTTTTCTCAACGTCCCAGCCTCGCTTGGCACCGTTGCCGCATGCCGTTAAGCATCCTGTGTCTCTTGGGGGGCTGCAGCGCAGGGATCCCCGTCCCGGGTGTGTAGAAGTAACGCGCTCTGTGGCAGAGACGAAGGGTCAGTGGGAGGTACAGACTAGACTGAAATAAGCAGGTGCCCTGTAGCATCTCTTGTGGCTAGTGGCTGATAAAGGTTGTTGCCGGATTTCTGGGGGGGTGTCTGAGATGGTTTGTAGAAAGACAATGCTGCGGTTTCTCTAACTCACCCCCCCACACACACCTCTTCCTTGCAGGGAGCGATGCCTGCGGGAGAGAAGCGCAAACTCTCGGCGAGGGAGGATGTCTCGAGCGATGCGGTGGCTCCTCAGGACGCCGAGCTGTCTGCGCAGCTGCGCCGGTGTCTCTTCTACGCCACGGTGGATAAATTCAGGACGGAATGCGTGGCGAAAAGGCCTAACCTACACCGCCACGTGCTGATCTGCAACACCCTCCATCGAATCCGGGAAGAGATGTGCCTGGAAAAGCACCTCCTCCCTGGCCTGAATCCCCTGACCCTTATGCATCCACCTCCTGTCCAGCCAGAAGTTACCCCCCCGTCTCTGGCCCGGGAGGTGACATCCTGGTTCAAGGCGGCGAGCCAGCCTCCGAAAGGCTCGGGCGACGCGGAGACAGCGGGGCTCGACTTTTCTGCAGCCTCTGCCGTCCCCGCCATCCTGGAGGCTCTGGAGCCGGCACGGGAGCCTGGTGGCCCGCAGGACTCACTTGCAGACCCCAGGCCTGCTGTGGAAGAAGCGGAGCTGGCGCGTCTCTTCGGAGCCGGCTCGTCCCAGAGCCACCGGCAGCCAGACGCTGGAGAGAGCCACGGGCTGGCGACAACGGGCAGCCGCTGTGCGGCTGAGGAACTTCGCCGGGGTTCGCCGGGAAACGCTGCAGCAAACCTGAGCCTGGGAACTGCCTTGGGGGAAGCGTGGCCACAGGCCGAGTTGCTGCTGGCTAGCGCTGAGTTTGCTAAACCTGCCGATTCCTTCTTTGGGAGCTTTGAGATCCTGGACTCCGGCTACCTCAGTGACCTGGCCGGGGACGATCTGTTTTCCGACATCGACACTTCGGGCTTTGAGAGCTTCGGGGCAGACGCGCCCAGCAGCCGGCAGCCCTCCCAGGCTAGCGGGGACCCGGCAGCGCCCTGCAACACGGCAGGGAGAGACTGGCATGACCTCGACCACCTGATGGAGATAGTCGTGGGCTCCTAACGCCATGCTTCTCCTGTCCGTTCTCCACGTCCAGACCCAGGCCGCTCCGATTCCCTGCCGAAGCGCTGAGGATAGTCGGTTACTTCTCCTCTGGTGCTGCAGGATTGGGTCCTGCACGAGTTGAAAACTCCTAGGTACCGCAGCCGAGTCTACCTGTGCCATTGCCGCCTCCTCTCTCCGGACGGCGCGGCAGGCTCCTGCCGGAGGTGGAAATTGGCAGCGTGGCCGATGTGACGTGTTTTAATGCCGTAACGCTAGTGCCGAGAGGGAAGCTGCATCTCGGGTCATTGGCTGCCTTCCTCCCTGAAACGCCCGGCAGTGCCCGGCTTGCTTCACGCCGGGTCAAACGGCTCCCATCAGCCGGCTTGTAACTCTCAGGCCCTGCACATCGCAACCTGCCTCTTGCTTTGCCGGCTGGGTCTACGTCCTGGTACGGTGTCAGATTTGGGAGCCAGCTTTGCTAGCTCGAACCACAGGCTGGTCTCGCTGAAGTGGCCTTGGGGCGTATTTGGGTGATAGAATTTCTCCCTCCACCTCCGCGGGGCTGGAGTCTCTCTGAGTAACGGGCGTTTAGTCTTTTAATCTGTCGGCCGTGTTCAGACGCTCGGGTAGGGCTGCGGTGCGGCCCCTCTCCTGCCACGAGGCTGCGGGAGCGCTGCGCGGCTGGGTGGGGTTAGTCCTGGCATACTCACACCATCAGAGTGACAGCAGCTGATCTCCGGAGCGCCCTCGCTGCTGGCCTGCAGCGTCCCCTCAGCCCGCGGGCACCTGTCTGAGGCCAGAAGGAACTAGGCTTGGCTGCCCTGAGACCACCCCTTGGTCCTTGCTCATTCATCCGGCTACCGGTCTCGCTGGGTTCAGGCAGCGAGCCGGCAAACAGCTGGGACTGGGGGCTGTTCCCTGGATTCCTCTTCTGATGCTTCCCATGCAATTTGTTGGCCACAATGTGTGACAGACGACATACAGCCACGTCTTTTTATATGCACACTAGTCAGTAAAAGTCTGTCTCCTTGGGTCTGTTTTTAATATTTTCCTGAGCGCCACCGAGCTCCGTGCTCTTTGCAGCAGACTTTTGTTCCAAAGTCTTGTCAGTGTTTCAGATCCAATCGTTTGCAGCGACGGGCCTGTTTTTTAAAATAGCGACGGACCTGTTTTCTCTTGCAGTGGGACCCTCCGTGCTCTGCCCTCGGCCGATCCAGGCGTGAACGCTGTCTGTGGGGAACGGCAAAACTTCTTAAGAAGCTGTTGTGATTTTTAATGATTTCTTCGTAGGCCTCTGGGCCAAGCTAGGCAGGCGTGATCATTGTGTTGTGGGGCCAATGCTGACACACCAGAGAGGGTTGTGACTCTCCCGGGCTCTAACCAGGTCCCTTTACAGGGTCTCAGGTTGGGCACACACAAGTCACTGCTACAAGTTGTGGTTTCAGTTCTCTTCTGGAAGCCTAGAATGTTTTTGTGGGTTGCTCTGGTCGTATGCCCCTGAGATCTTTGCCTGAGTTGCTCCAGGAAACCGACTCTGTTGTAACATGGTGCTACCTGTTACAAGCTCCTCTGGGGTGTAAACTGGGGGGTGGCGGCTGGGAATGATTGAGAGGTCCAGCTTTCCTGTGTTTGGCCAGAGTCCTGTCTCGTCATTAGTCGCAGCGTGGACAATCACGCCTGCCCTGCCCAAGAGACTAGCCCTTGAGTCTGATTTTTTCAGATGTGCTTCAGCCCCCTCCCGGCTTCAGCCATCTTCCCTGGTGCTCAGGTGTTCAGCAGATCTGGACTGATCCGAGGGGTGTCCGCACTCCCAGGAATCTGGCCTTAAGGAACCCAAAGACCTGGTGGGTGTTGACGTTTCATGAGACTACACGGAAATGTGAGATTCGTGCCAGATGCACGTGCCTTGGAAGAGCGAGCATTCCCGGGGAGGTTTGCCATGTGTGAGAGATGCCCATCTTGGTATACCGCTCGGCCAGGGCTGGGGGGCCACGGTAGAACTGCCCCTGTTCAGCGTTAGGATTATTACTCCGCTTTGCTATCAGCCACAGGCAGCGAACGCACTCTGTCCTATTGGTGCCTGATAACGGAACAAAACGCCGGCACCTTCTCCCAGAATACTCGGCGCTGTACAGAGATGTGTAGCCTGGCCATTGCAATTTCCAGCTGCGTTAGCGACGGGACTCTCAAACTCCTGTTTAAATTGCGTTCGGCCCGAGTGTGGAGCAGGGCTCTGGGTGGAGAAGTGGATGCACAAGGAGATCTAGTAGCTTTTGTTCTTAACCGAAATGACGTGACCTTTAACTAAAGCCCCGGTGAAGCAACGAGCTTCGTTTATCTTGCAGTGTTGTGTGCGCGCGTTTCGATCTGCAATTTGCCCCTTGCGGGTAACTGCGGTTTTTCATACCCGACAAGCTCAAATCGTGCTGTAATCTGGGTATAAAGGATTCAAATATCAGTGTTAAAGCACCCACGTGTGGCTCTGCTGAGAAACTCTAGGGCAAATGCTCCTTATGCAGATCGGCATAATTCAACTGGTCTGTAGAGTTGCTCTGTTAGTTGAAACTCAAGTCTCTTACACTGACTGCACCTGTCTTGTTAAACGCGACGGAATGAACGGTGGCGCTGTCCGCTCAGACAGATGGGCACATGTTGAAACAAACTGCAATGCAGGTTACTTTCAAAGGGTCACTTCTTTGCTTTCCTTTCCTTTGTGAATAAAGGTATTGGCTCCATGGAGGAGTGAGCGTTCTTCCTGCCCAGTACGCCCATCACACGGGAGTGTCTGACGGGAGCCGCAGGGTTTCACTGGGGGTTAGACTAGGGATGGTGGGGAAAGGCTCCTTTTAATTCTCCTCACTGCACTATCTAGGAAGGTTGATCTGGGGGCTGCAGGTAGGAATGGTTGGGCGGGATTCTCGGCTCGACGTTCTGCAGGAGATCAGACTTGGGCGTACAAAACAAGTGACCTAGAAATGAAAGGCTCCATATCCCAGTGTAGCTCCCGGTGCTCTCCACCCCCTCGAGGGGCCTGGACTAACAGTGTCCTTTAAATAAACAGCTGCCCTGTGCTTTCTGGCCATAGCAGAATTTCCTCCTTGCCTTTTGAGCTCTGCTCTATCTCCTTACTACCCGAGCCCCATGTAGGAAGCCAAGCGATGCGCGAATCGGTAGGTCTCACATTTGCTTCCCTTTTGCGCACACGCTGTAGTAGCGCTGGCCACAGCCAGGACTTGTCCGCGAGATGCTGAGTGAAAAGACGAGGGAAGAAATTGCTCTATTTGTGGGACTTTTTCCCAAATCTCATTTGTGGTTTGTTTTCAGATTTTGCCCGTCTCGAAGCCGGTAGGAAATGGCTGTCCCCTAAGAACTGGTCTTTGCCTTTGCCCGGCCCCGCTGCTGGTGTGCTAGCATCTGGAAGCGATCGCTGGGCAGAGCGAGAAGTTCTTTCTGCTGCAGCTGGCTAGTGCCGACACAATAACTGCACGTCCCGGGAGCACCTGGGAACAGGCTGTCCAGGGCCAGAACGTTCGGGCAGCCGTAGCTCCCGCTCAGCTAAAGTAAAGAACGGCTTGTGTGCCAGCCCTGCCTCGCCTCTGAGCCGGAGCCGGGCTGCCAGCACCCTTGGCACGGGACCCAGCAGCGGCACATCACTGTTCATGTTAGACCAGCAGCTTGGTGAGTTAACCCTGAAGGTCCCTGGTCTGCTGGGTGGGGAGCTCGTGGGATCTGGCCCGGGGCCTTGGGTCTGATCGTGTTGGAGAGAGACAAGCGGGGGGAAGGGATCTATTCGATGGGACCAGCGTGGGTGACGGAAGAGACCGGCGTTCCAGCTGCTGCAGCCCGGACGAAGCGCTCGGTGAAGGTAACTGGAGTGTCACTGCTCCGTACAAGGTGGGACGGATTGCTCTGCAAGAGGGTTAGCACCTTGCAAGAAACCCCTTGAAACGAGGGGGGTAATTAACTCCTCTGCAGTCACAGGCCAAAGGAGGGTTAGTAGGTTGCGGATGGTTTGGAATGAACCATAAAAGCAGCGTCTGGCGAGACCATGGCTTTGAGCGTCCAGTGGAGTTCTCATCTCTGGTTTTCCTGCGGGCCGAGCGGTCGGATGTGGTGGGGTGGCATGGGGTTTGTCTCATCCTTTTTCTGACACAGCTCAGGTGAGCACAGGCTGATTGGTGCAAAAAGTGACGTGTTTTCAAGATGGCATTTGAAAAAGCGACAGCGGCCACCTAGGAATCACTTCAGGTAGCCGGGAAGAGCTGGGCTCGGGAAGCCAGGAAAGCCAGGGCCGTTGCATTAGGCAGTCTTTCCCCTGGATTTCCCCCTGCACCTGGGCTCAGGGCTCCCATCAATGCACCTGCTTCCACTCCCCGCCCAGGTCACCTGGTCTGGGGCGAGCCTGCTGTCTGACCGGCCTTTCCTCGCGGTGCCAGCCTCACGCCCGGAAACGCCCATCCGCCTGCTCCCTGGGGGCTAGACGCAGCAGGGCCAAGTGAATGGGGCCACCGGGCGGGGAACGGGGCGAGCGGGGTTCTAGGCACAGCGCCGGGTGCCTGGGCAAGTCTGTGTGCTTCCGCCCCCCACCCCCCGTCTAATCCATGGGGCCTGAGTGCTGCTTGGCAGAGACGTCTCCTGGCCGCCTGGTGGTGCATGCAGCCGGGGGCATGGTCTGCCCCGGAGATACTAGAGGGACGAGGTGGGGCAGGTGAGGCCTTTCGTTGGCCCGAGTTCTGGGGGTGAGAGAGACACTTGGGAGGCCCCGGGGGCGAGGGACGAGCCGGGGCTCTGGCCAGGCTGACGCGAGGCTGGTCCGAGGGGGATGGTTGTAAAAGGCTCAGGCGGGGGCCTGATGTGTAATGCTGGGCTCCGGACAAAGCAGCTGGGGACCTGCCCCATCTCGGCTCAGGCCTGGCCCCTGTGCAGTCGCAGGGCGACGTCGGCCCTTTCGCTTTCGCTTCTCGGCCCCGGACTCCTTTCACTTTCCTCTAAATCACAGGAATCCTGACGCTCAGCGGCTGCCCTGCCCCTCGCGTGGAGCACCCTGCTCGGTGGGGCCCCTCACTGTGGTCCCCTGGGGGGGCTGCCCGGCCCCCCTGCCCCTCGCCTGGAGCACCCTGCGTGGCTCGGCGGGGCCCCTCACTGTGCTCCCCTGGGGGGGGGGCTGCCCGGCCCCCCTGCCCCTCGCGTGGAGCACCCTGCGCGGCTCGGCAGGGCCCCTCGCTGTGCTTTGCTGGGGGTGGGGGGACTGGAATTGCCCTGCCCCTCGCATGCAGCACCCTGCGCGGCTCAGCTGGGCTCACCCGTGCTGTGCTTTGCTGGGGGAGGCAGGATACCGGGGTAGATGGGCCCGTGGGCTGGCTGGAGCAATGCTGGTTGCACTAAGGGGGCTGGGGGAGTGGGGCTGTTGAGGACTAGAGGAGAGGAGGGGGCGGGGCATGCCCGGAGTCTCCTTCCCCCCCCCCGCACGCCCCTCCCCAGCCGCTGCGGGCTGAGCCCCGACAAACTCATCCCAGCCCGCCCCCTGCGGGGCCTGCCACTCAAACCGCCCGCCCCGCCTCTCGCTTGAGTCGCTCACGTCCGCTCTCTGTATGCAGATGAGCCGCTTGGCCCTGGCCAATCAGATGGCAGTGGGGCAGGGCCTCTTGGTATTTCCTTTCACCCCGCCCCTCCCTCCAGCTGTGTTGATTCGGTCCCGTCCGCCCACTGTATGCAGATGAGTCGTGCGGCCGAGCCCCGCTATTGGCTGGCGCGCCGCTTCCCCCCCTCCCCCGGACAATCGGAGGGGCGGGGCCTGGCGCGGCAGGGCAGATGTAGCAATTCCCGGTGGCCGAGTCGGTTTCGGAGCCGGAGGGGGGAGATGCCGGCTGCTGATTGGCTGCGCGCCGCGTTCCAAACCCCGCTGATTGGGCCCTGAGGAGCCGGGTATGTAAATGAGGGTCTGGAGGGGTCCGGCGGCGGGGCTCGCGCTGCCCCGGGACGGGGCGCGGGGGGAGCCCGGGGCCGGCCGCTGGGGGGAGCCCGGGGCCGGGAGCCGGAGCCCGGTGAGTCACCCGGGCCGGGCGGGGAAGGAGGCTCCGGCTGCTGCGTGACTCACCCGCCCCCGCCGCTGCTCCGCCCGCCGCGTGGGGCTGCCCCCCCCGAGCAACGGGGACCCCCCCGGGGCGAGTCCCGAGCAGGGTAGCCCCCCATGCCGTGCACGGAGCACTGGGGCCCCGGCAAGGGGCTGCAGCAGGCGGCCCCCCCAGTGCAGTGGGGCAGCTAAGGGACACTGCAGTGCCCGGGGGGGGTGCCGGGGGGGGTCCACCATTGGGGTGTCCAGCTCCCCATTCTGCTTGCGGGGCCCAGCAGGAAAGCCCGGGGGCTGGGCTCAGAACCGGCCGTGGCCCCCCCAGCCCAGCTCCGGGCACTGACCTTTGGCTCCAGGGGCGCAGTCCTCCTGCTCCGGCCATGGGGTGTAAAACGTGCGGCCGGAGCTGTGGGCCGGCCCCGTCTCAGGCGTTGGGCCCAGTCCGGGTTCCCAAGGGCGCAGAGACACCTGGGTTCGCTTTTGTGACCTGTCTGAGCCTCAGTTTCCCCATCTGTAGGCATTGCTCCGTCATGTGCAGGCTGCCTGGAGACCTCTGCATGCAAAGCCCTCTGTCACAGCAAGGGCATTAGACGGGTTAGGGTTCGTTCTCCTCTCAGCCGCTTCAGGACAGGACCAAGACACCCTGCCAGGGGGCCTGGGTGTGGGGCAAGTGGGTCCTGCTGCTACTGCCCGGAGCTGTCAGTCTGGCGCCCTGGAGCCACACATGTTTAAAACTTTCTGGGTCTGATTCTCCGTGTGCCCAGGGCACCTGCTTGTCTCCCTGCCAAGCCAGTGCCAGGCGCTGCCGGTTCAGCCTGGCTGCAGCTGTGGCCTAGAGGACAGAGCAATTGTCTGGGCCTTAGGAAACCTGGGTTCTAGCCCTGGCTCTCCCTGGCCTGCTGGGTGACCTTGGGCAAGTTGTGGTGCTCCGTGCCTCAGTTTCCCCATCTATACAATAGAGAGAATGTGATACTGGCCTCCTCTGTAAAGTGCTTTGTAAATTTGTGTAGCTGTAATTCTGTGTCCTGCGGTAACCGCCCCTAGGAAATCAAGGCCCTGCGGCGCGACGGTATCAGTATGTTAGTTCTTTGGGGCATTTGTCCCGGGCCCTGCTCCGAATACCAGCGATTAACAGGGATAATACGCCATCCATGATTACTAATAATTTATATTAGGGTAGCACCCGAGGGCTCCAATCGGGCTCTGGGGCCCATCACACCGGGTGCTGCACAGACCCTGCGGGAGATGTAGCCCCTGCCCCAAGAGCTCCCCGTCTGGGTAGACAATGCTGAGAGGGGAAACTGAGGCACAGAGCAGGGAGGGGGTGTGCTCAAGGCCACCTGGGGCAGAGCTGGGAGTGGAACCAGCCCTGTGACCTGCTCACTGGTTCGAATGCTGCCTTGGGTCCCGGCTGGTGCTTGGTTCGTATCGAGCCCTTCGGAGGCAGGTGCCTGGAAACCATGGGCTGTGATTCATCTGTCATCCGCACGACACCGTGGTGTTAGTCACGTTGTGTCATCTCCGTGACACACACGGGGGCGTCTCTGGCACAGCAGCTCTGCTGCATCCCACAGGCCATGATCCCAGCACAGGCCCTGGGGCAGGCGGTGTCAGGAAACCCCCCTTGTGCCCCTGGGTTGGGGGTCGGGGCGGTGTCCCCGGGGCTTTGGCCAGTACTGGTTCGGGGGAGCCGGAAGTGCAGATCCCCGCCCCACTTGGGCTCTGTGCTTTGGAGGGTGTGGACAGGGAGAGGAGCGGGACCCAGACTTCTTCCAGGGACCATATGGCCTGGTGCTAAAAGCTATACAACCACGTCCCCTATACAATGCCGGCACACAGGAACTGAACAAACACCCCTCCCTTTAGGAAGGGCAGGCCTATAGGTCAGTATAGACACCCTCCCCAGGCTGTATAGTTCACTATTGACTGACGCTCCCTCCCCCCAGTCCAAGCCGGTTAAGGGCCGGCCTGGTGTCTCTCCCTGCAGGCCCCTCTCGGGAGCTTTCCAGCCTTGGCAGCTCCGGCAGGGGGAGGAACCGCAGGGAGGCCTCGGCTGGGGGAGGCTGAGCCGGATCCCGTCTCCTCCCCCGCCGCCTGGGAAGAGAGCTCCAGAGGGAGGGTGTCGGCCTGCGGGAGAGGGGTGTGCCCCCCCTTTCCACTGTAGGGAGCAGATTTTTGCTTCCCGCAGGGGACTGGGGCTGTCAGACACGGGCCCCCTCTGGGAAGGGCTGCAGCTCGGTGACAACAGCACAGGTGAGTCCCTGGGTGCTGCTATCCCGGAGTGACAGGGGGAAACTGAGGCACTGAAAGGGGGTGGGTCTTGTGCCCAAGGGCACACAGGGCAGCCGTGGCAGAGCTGGGCTAGAACCCAGGAGTCCTGACACCCAGCCCCCTGCTCTAACCACTAGACCATGCCTGAGTAGCGTGGCATAAACTGAAACTGGGTCACCAGTCAGCGCCGTCCCTGAGGCCCGGCCATGCTGGCCGTTAGCCGTGGGGCAGCTGGGGCAGGACGGCTCCGTGCTTAGGGCAGCTCCCTGCCTTGCCACAGACTCTCTGCAGCTTTGGGCCTCAGCTCCCCGTCTGCACCGTGGGGCTCCCAGGACCGTCCTGCCCCACAGGGGGGAGACAGACCTGCGCGAGCCGGGTGCCGGCAGCTGTGCCCAGCCCCCGGGGCCGAGTGTCAGCAGGCGCCCGGGCACGGGAGTGGGTCTCGGAGGGGCGGGAGCGGGCTGGGAGGAGTTAAATACCCTTCCCCCCCCCCCCATGGCTCCAGGGAGCTAATCCCTCCCTTGGGGGGGGGTGTTGCGTCACCAGGACAACCAGGGATGGACGAGTCTCTGCTCACGGAGGTGTCCCGTCCCGTTCCCCCCCCCCAGCTGCCTTGTGTCCACTGGGACTGAATAATAACACTTGGGAATAGGACCCAGGCGTCCTGGCTCCCTGCCCCCGTTCACCAGACCCCACTTCCTGACAGAACTGGGGAGAGAACCGAGGAGTCCTGGCTCCCAGCCGCCCCCCTGCTCTAACCACTAGACCCCACTCCTCTCCCAGAGCTGGGAGAGAACCCAGGAGTCCGGGCTCCCAGCCCCCCCTGCTCTGACCACTAAACCCCACTCCCCTCCCAGAGCTGGGGAGAGAACCCAGGAGTCCTGGCTCCCAGCCCCCCCGCTCTAACCACTAGACGCAGCTGCACTCTCGGAGCCGGGGAGAGAACCCAGAGGGCCGTGCCGTGGGGCTGGGCGTGCTCGGGGCTGCGGGCCGGTGGGACTCACTGCTCCCGTCTCTGTTGCAGAGCCATGCAGGGCAAAGGCGTGAAGCGCCCGCGCGGGGAGATGGAGGGCGGCGAGCCGGAGCCCCGAGACCCCGGCGCCGCCCCGGCCAGCTCCTTGTTCAACATCTCCATGGTGAAGCTGCACCAGAGCCTGCGGCGCGTGGAGCCCAACCTGCGGCACTTGGTGCTGGTGGCCAACACCTTGCGCCGGATGCAGGAGCAGATGCAGCGGGAGGCGGTGGGGCCGGCGGCCCCGGACAGCCCCGAGGCCCCGCCCGTGGTGGATTCTCCTGCCCCCGTCTCAGACTCCAGGGACAGTGGGCTGGAGCCCTGCCGGCCGCCACCCTCCGACAAGCAGGGGGACGATCTCCTCCTCTCCACCATGGACACCTCCATCTCCACCATCCTGGAGGACCTGGGTCAGGTGGAGGCGCTGAGCCCCGCCCGGCCCGAAGAGGAGCAGCCGTTGGCCGGCGCGTCTGGAGCCCGGCAGGAGCCGGCTAGGACCTCAGGCCCTTGCTTGGGCCCCCTGGAGCTGCTCAGCTCGGCCAGCTACCTGCTGGAGGACGGCCTGGAGGACATCTTCGAGGACATCGACACCTCCATGTACGACTGCGACCTGTGGTCGCCCACCAGCCTCTCCGGCTTCAAGGCTTTCTCCGGTGCGGAGGACTCGGACAGCAAGGCGCTCGCCGGCGCCGAAGACCGGCTGGACATGAGCGACCTGGACTACCTGATGGACGTGCTCGTGGGGGGTCACGCGCTCTGAGGGCGGGGGGCAGAGGGAGGGTGACAGTATTAAATACCCCTGCTCTAATTTATTAGGGGCCCGATCCTCAGCTGTCAGTGGAGCCGGCTGATCCCTGCTGCAGACCCGGCCCTATGTGCCTCGGCCTGAATGCTCAGCCAGGCTCGGGACCCTCTGCCCTGCCTGGGGTGGCGTCGGCCCCCTGAGGAGTCCCGTGCGTAGGGGCCTCCCTGGTCAGTGCGGAGCTGGTGTAATGGCCCTGTTCCCAGCCCCTGACGTCGGGGGTGGATCGGGGGGGTGGCTGGAGCACACTGTGCTGTGGTGTTCTCAGCCCCCTGGGGCCCATAGCGGGAGAAGCAGCAGTTAGAGCAGCCCTGAGGTTGCTCTAACTGACACCAGGGCTCAGAGTACGGGGAGCGCAAAGGAGCCTTAAAGCCACCGTAACCCCCGGCCCAAGAGCAAGAGCTGAGAATGGCAACATGTCCAGTAAGCCCCTCCCCACTGCCCTGCCCCGTCTCGCCCCCAACCCCCCATCCTAGCTAGATGAGCCGTGGCAGGGGAGGGTAACAGGCCGTTTCCTGGCCCGTGGTGGCTCCCAGGTTGGGCTCTGAACGGTTTGGAAGTAACTTATTGTCTGAGCGATGGGGAAAGTGTCGGAAGCTCCCGAAAAGCCGCTGTGAACTGCTGTGAAAGGAAAATAACAGCCCTGGCTCTGTACCCCGCTCCCGCTGCCTCCTTTCCCCCCAAGCCCTTCCCGCCGCCTGCCACGCCAGCCTCAAGTCCTGGGTGGCTGCGTCTCATCTGCTCCTCGTTCCTTGGGGCTGTTCCCTGGGTCGCTTAACCGCGGGCTGCCCGGTGCCCCCGCTCGCCCCCGGCCCAGAGTCGAGCCACCCGGCACAGTCCCGGTGCCCCCGCTCGCTCCCGGCCCAGAGCCCAGCCGCCCAGCACACACCTCGGTGCCCCCGCTCGCCCCTGGCCCGGAGCCCAGCCACCCGGCACACACCAGCCCAGAGCCCAGCTGCCCAGCACAGTCCCGCTGCCCCCGCTCGGCCCGGCCCGGAGCCCACCCGCCCAGCACGCGCCCAGTGCCCCCGCTCGGCCCTGGCCCGGAGCCCAGCCGCCCAGCACGCGCCCAGTGCCCCCGCTCGGCCCTGGCCCGGAGCCCAGCCGCCCGGCACGCCCCCACTCGCCCCCAGCCCAGAGCCCACCCCTCTGGCATGCGCC